CTGGGTGTGTTCTCCAACACCTACAAGTCCATGAGCACAGCATCAGTGCTACCCACTCCTCCTGCTCCATCCCCTTTGTATGAGGTGCTTTTGTGTCAACTTGAAAAAAGCTAGAGACAGCAGTGAGGAAGGTGCCTCGGTTGAGTAATGCTCCTATAAGATCCAGCTCAGTGATCAATGGGGGAGGGCTCAGCCCATGGTGGGTAGAGCCATTCCTGGGCTGCTGGTCCTGGATTCTGTAAGAGAGAGCAGACGAACAAACCATGGTGAAGCACAGCAGTAAACAGCGTCCCTCTATGGCTTCTGTATCAGTTCTTGCTTCCAAGTTCCAGTCTTGTTTGACTTCCTTCAGTGATGGACAACAGTGTGGAAGTATAAACTGAATAAACTATTTCTTCTCCAGTTTGCTTTTAGTCATGGTGTTTCATCAAAGCAAACAGAAACCCTAACTAAAACAAGTTGGCACTAGTATCATGGGGTATTGCTGTGACAGACCTGACCATGTTTTTAGAAGGATCATGGAAGAACTTTGGAACTTTGGGCTAGAAGAACCATTGAGTGTTGTGATCTCAGTGAGATGGTCTTTAGGAGCTTAGAAGATGAATGTTGAGAGGAGAGCAGTGCAGAAGATGGAGGCTTGGCTTATGGAGTTTCAGAGGGAAGTGGTGTATGCTTGATCAGGAGCAGGTCCTGAAGGCACAGGCAAGTTACATGAAGAAGTCCCCCAAATGCGTATGGTTTCCACTCCTGTTACAATTACAGTGCCATCTGCTACCAAATGTGTACCTATAGCCTGATGGGGTGTTTCTTATGATTGGTTGACTGAGGAAGAGAAGACTAGGACCTGGTTTATTGGTATTTCTATACGCTATGCAGGCAGAAGAACAGCTGCAGCATTACAACCCCTTTCTGAAACAATCCTCAAACACAATGGCAAAAGGAAGATTTCATAGTGGGCAAAACTTCAGACAGTACACATAGTATTGCAGTTTTCTTGGAAGGAGAAATGGCCAGATGTGCAACTTTTCACTGATTCCTGGGCTGTCATTGCTCAAAGGGCATATGATCAAAGTGGCCATGGTGACAGAGATGGGGTTAAGCATGGGCTCAACAGCATGGACTTCTAGTCACCCAAGGCTGACCTGGCTACAGCTGCTGCTGAGTTTCAGATCTGCCAACAGCAGAGACTAACACTGAGACCCAGATATGATACCATTCCCCAGGGTGATCAGCCAGTGACATGGTGGCAGGTTGAATACATTGGATCACTTCCTCCATGGAAACAACAACTCTTCGTCCTTATTGGAATAGATATTTATTCTGATTATGGATTTGCCTTTACTGCTTCTGCTAAAACCACCATCTGTGGATACAACACACCTTATCCACCATCATGATATTACATGCAGTATTGCTTCTGACCAAGGAACTCATTTCACAGCCAAAGAAGTACAACCGTGGGCCCATGGTCATGGAATCTACTAGTGTTACCATGATCCGCACTACCCTGAAGCAGCTAGTCTGACAAAATATAGAATGGCCTTTTGGAGACACATATCTTTGATCCAGATCATGAGGTGGAAAGACATTCCTTCAATCTGGGCCACACCTTCTGCTGGAAGTCTGAATAAGGACATGGTGACAGAAGCTTTTGCTCTCTGACTGCTTGCCCTCACCTTGCTAGCACTAGCATTGAAGCCTACTTCTACAGGACTCCAGCATGAGACACTCAGCTGTGTAGGGCTTAGCAATTACTAGATTCTTGGACTTTCCATTCACAGCCATTGTTGGATTAGCTGGACTGCAGCCTATAAGTCATTCCAATGAATTCTTCTTTTACATACTATATACAGAAATTCATTTCATAAGTTCTGTGACTTTAGAGAACCCTTCAAGTAGCTATGGCTCAATAGACTCAAATTTAGTCTCCAGAAAAATATCCAGTTATGATGACCAAAAGTGAATAACACTGAAGAAAGAAGCCCCCCAAAGTACTAGGCAGCTTCCACCACGTATGTAAGAGAGTAAACTCTTATTTGTTTGGGGATGAAGTTGCCAGCTGGGTACTGCTTTCAGTTGACTGTCAAGCTTTAAGGAAATACTTTAAGAAAGGGAAAGGTATGGGAACACCAAAAACTGGCACCACCCCCAAGAGTGTCAAGTCTCCAAGATCTGAGAAAGAAAATTTGGGATGGGCTCCGTTGTAAAAGGATTTACATCACTAGTCTGACTGTCCTATTAACAGCAGGCACAGTCCTAACAGCTGTGAGCCACACTCACATAGAGAGATGTTTACAGGCCGGGTGGTGGTGGCGCACGCCTTTAATCCCAGCACTTGGGAGGCAGAGGCAGGTGGATTTCTGAGTTCGAGGCCAGCCTGGTCTACTGAATGAGTTCCAGAACAGCCAGGGCTACACAGAGAAACCCTGTCTCGAAAAACCAAAACCA